CCTCTTGCCTCTTGTCCACCTGACTTCTTATCTATTCTTTTACAGGCTCTCGAGCCGCACAGTTCTGAGAAGGCAAGCTTCCCTCTGCCTTCCCTTCTGCAGACCTGGCCCGCCATCTTGCTGCCATCCAGAGAGGAGCCTTTCTTCACGCAGAGTTAGTTGCCGAAGCCACAGGACAGACCCTTGATACTTTTCCTCTGTCCTCTAATCGTGATGAAATTCCAATCTTGCTTGTTTACATCCCATCTCCCTACTGTTAGTACCTTAGCTCAGACTCTGCTTACCTGCATTTCCCCAAAACGTCTCCTTTTGAGCCTCTTAGGACTCTGTATGTTTTCTCTCAAGGCTTTAGCTTAAAAAGTCAGGGCCTCTGAGACCTGTTTCCTCTCAAGCCCAGTGCTGGTAGCCTCACCTCTAAAATGCCCATTCCTCCTCTCTCCTTCCCTCCTGGACTCTCACAGTACCCACACCACCCTACAGAGACTGTCACATGCTGTTGTAATTGTTTAGTTTTCTGTCTCTCTGTAGCAATGACCATGTCTTACGGTTGTGCAAGTATCCAGTCCTGAATGGCTAGTAATGCTAAGTAGGGTAGCTATTCATGTGAGTGAGTTCTGCAGCTGTTGTTTTATGGATCTTGTTGCTTTAAAATTGGTTGGTGATGTGATCAGCTTTCATCTTTCTGGTCCCATCCTAACAGTTCTAGAAGTGGGACAACAGGAGGGAAAGCCGGTAGTTGCCGGATTGGCATGGACTCTAGTACTCTGTCTGTCTCGTAACCACTGACAGTACAACAGAGAGAAAATGCTTGATAACCTAGTAGTTGTGCTAGGGATGCTGAGGAGGACTTCTTTTAGTGACTTGGTATAGGGACCAGGGAAGAGGAACCTAAGTGACTCCGTTTCTGGCTTGCTAGTGTGGGTACCTGAGGTTGTCTGTCATCACCTAGTAGTGTTGGGTTTTGAGGTTCTTACTGACATCCAGGTGAAGTCTACCAGACAACAAACAGTAGGCTCTCAAGTTAGGAGAGTAGGCCACAGGAAATGGCAAGATGGAGAGTCACCCACGTGTGGGAACTAATTAGAGTTAGGAATGGTCATCTAGACATCACCTAAAAGGAATCACGGTCTGTAAACAGAATGAACCTTGAGGAGCTCTGATGTCAAGAGTCAGGAAAGAAAGCAGACCTGGAAGGTACTGTTGAAGAACCCGAGCAGCTGAGGCTGAAGGCTTGGACAGTAAAAAGGCCCTCACTTAACTGTTTCCGGGAGAGATAAAGAAGTCCATCTTTATTTACCCAGCTTAGGAGAGATGCATGAGCACAACCTCTTTGCTCTGTTTCCTGTCACACAGTTCTGCCTCACTCCTGTAGCTCCCAGCCAAAGTCAGCCCCACCATCACCTTTTGTTAGATGTGACAGTCACCAAAGTCCCCTCCAACTTTAGTGTAAGATTTAACGCAGAATTTGGGCCCAGTCCTGGGGAACTGATGGATGGGCCCTTCTGATATGTAGGTGCTATTCTGATATGTAGGTTTACATTTTATTTCATTACAAGAGAGGAGGGCTTGATTACAGCAGACTTTGTTTAAAACAGAGGCATGTAGCCCAAGCTGGTCTCAGAATCACCGTGTAGCTGAGGGTGCCCACAATGGACACTGTCCTCACACCACCTCAGTCCTCAACCTCCTGTCTCTGTCTCTACATACGGTGGGTGCTGGGGTTGTAGGCACGTGCCAGCATGCCTAGCTAAGTAGAGCAAACTTTCAAAACAGAATTTTGAGAACTGGGGCTGTAGCTCAGTGATGGAGTACTTACCTAGCACAGATAATGACTGGCATGGACAAGGTTCTGATTAAGTAATGAAGAGACTGGCAGCCATAGAAACCTCGCTGGAACTTTCCACTGTGCTTGTCTCTAGAGTGGGATGGGGGTGGGCAAAGTGCTACCATCTGTTTTTATTTTTTGTAACAGATGCTCTGGTACCCTGCATTATATCCTTAATTCACCACCAGTTTCAACCAAAACTCAGATGTTTGTAGTCAGAGTCTTACCAGAACCTAGTTTTTGTCTCAGAACTGTTAGGTCCACCAAGGGAAGGGGAAAAGTTGACACGCCTCCCCGAGTCTTCAACCAGCAGCAACACCTAAACATGGTGCCTCCTAGGCCTCCCTCCCCAGCAGTCAGTTGGATTATGGACACCTTTATTCCCTGACTTCCTTCTTTGGGATACCTCCAATTTTTATCTTGCTAAAACTGTTGATTCAGTTATTTTCAGTAGAGCGGACTTTACAGGTTTTGTGTAAACAAATGCCTTCCCCAATTACACTAATTTCTTTTCAAATGTCTCTGTCAATAATAGTACCTGTCTTAGTTAGGGTTTCTATTGCTGTGATGAAACACCATGACCAAAAGCAAGTTGGGGAGGAAAGGGTTTATTTGGCTTACACTTCCACATCACTGTTGATCATTGAAGAAGTCAGAACAGGAACTCAAGCAGGACAGGAACCTGGAGGCAGGAGCTGATGCAGAAGCCATGGAGGGGTACTGCTTACTGGCTTGCTCAGCCTGCTTTCTTATAGAACCCAGGACCACCAGCCCAGGAATGGCACCACCCACAATGGGCTTGCTCCTTCGTGGCTTGCTCGGCCCAGCATCCCAGGGATGGCCCCACCCACAATGGACTGTGCCCTCCTCCATCGATCACTAAATAAAATGCCTTAGAGGCTTGTCTGCATACAGCCTGATCTTCTGAAGGCATTTTCTCAGTTGAGATTCCTTCCTCTCAGATGCCTGTAGTGTGTGTCAAGTGGACGTCAAACTAGGCAGCACAGCACACAGCACCTAAACTACTGAGGGTAAAGGGGGCAAAGAAAACACTGTGCAACGCAAAACAGCATACACACTGCTGAAATTTAAATTTCTTCACAGGTATTCGGTAATGAAATCATTGTGTGATAACTTATTATTTCCCCCCTCTGACCTCCATTGCTCTCATTTCACTTAGAGAAGGATATGAAATCCCAGCACATAGTTGGCACAAAGAGACAGCACTCAACATGACTCATTTATTTGTTTATTTATGTATGTGTGTATGTATCATCTTGTTCTTGAAGAATTCTTTGGGGAAGACTAAATTATAGCAGATGACAGAAAGCTGTTACAATGTTGTGGGGCAGACGGGGGTGGGGGGTCGGGGAACGGTCTCCAGGTGCTTAGGGTCTGAGCTGTCCGAGAGCAGTCAGAATTGTGAAGATCTACGGCAGGATAGAGCTGGCTCCGTGTGTAGGGGTGCTTGCCACCAAACCTGAAGACCCGTGTTGATCCCTGGAACTCACATGGTGAGAGGAGGGAACCAACTCCGCCACTTGTCCTCTGCATCTCCCTGTGTGCTACAAGGCATGCACCTGTGCTTATATAGAATAAATGTCAAAGAATTGTTAAAAGGCACTTTATAGACCATAAATGCAGTTTCCATTCACATGGAAGAGAGCCGAGCCTGGACTGGAGAACTACAGAAATTAAAATGAAAGGTAAAGAACAGTGTCCACACTTGACCTGAGTCAGCACTGATACCTGAAGGTAGTTAGACACTCAGAAAGCCATGCATGCGAAGGCTGTGCCCCCAGGATGCCTGTCTGAAGCGATCTTCTCCACTCGAATGGATCTCCATGCATAGGTCTGCAAGTGTGGCCTCACTCCCTGTCACAAACCTGTGACCTCAGAGCTTTATGTTGGTTGGTAGGATTTTTTTCAGGAGACTAGACATCTCTAGAAAACACTTTCTTCAATCCTAGGGAGTTTTTGTGGCAAGGGCTAGGGTGGGTGTCATTGGGCTATCTAGTATTTCAGTCCTTCAGCTAGCATATCTACACAAACCCAGAGAGGAGACACCTTGCCTGGATTGTATTCCCCCTGTCTAGCTACTCATGATAGCAGAGACCAGGACACAGGACAGTGTCCAGTAATCATCTTTGTCTCATTTCTGAAATGCCTTCATCCTTCCCCGCCTGGCCAGGAAAGAAAAAAAGAAAGGCACCATGGCTTTTGATTTGTCTGGACTAGTTGAAATGTTTTCAGAATTAGTGACGAATATGGGCTCCATGTTTTATTTAAGATAGCTACAGCCGTGACACTTAGATCTGACACTTGGTCTTAGTCAAAAGGACAGTAAGGATGGACAGTTCATATGATTCCTATCTATAGATTCTATAGATAAAGCCCACTGCAAACAAGTGGAAAGTCATAGACAGCAGAATAGCTAACACTCTGGGAATGCTTGAGGAAATGACAATTATTTTTACATGGAGCCAATAAACTGCAAGTTGTGATGACCTAGAAAGATAACGATTAAAAATATACTAGGGGCTGAGAGTTGCTGCCATTGGGAGGCAGAAAGATCTTTTGTGAGTTTGAGAACAGCCAGGATTACAAACTGTGACACTCTCAGAACAAACAAAAAAAACCACCACACAAACAGTCTACTTGGACTGGGTATGGTATGCATGCCTGTTGTCCCAGCATTGAGGGAAGCTGAGTCAGGAAGATCACAAGTTTGAAACCAGCATGGGCTGTGTAATGAGAGACTAGTTATGGGGAATCAGAGGTGGTGGTGGGATTGTAACTCAGCCGGTAGGGTACTTGCTTAGCATCTACAAAGTCCTGGGTTCAATCCCCAATACTGCGTGTAATCTTGGGATTATGAGGCAGGAGAATCAAAAAGTCCTAGTCCAGCCTGGTCTCCATGAAATCCTGTCTCCTAAAAACAAGACGAAATGAACAATCTTGGGGTCGGGGGAGTTCTTTAGTCCTTCTACCTCTGTGCCAAGATGTAATAGGGAAGCAGTCTCAGTACATCAACTCACTTAAAGGATTCGTTTACGGTGACTATTAGCCCTAACGAGCTGAACTGTGACTTTTGGTAAAGACTTTAGAAGTTGGGAAAACACATTTCTCTTGCTAGACGCTGCACCTAAGTCAGTTCTGTTCTCTCCTGTTCCAGGGCATCTGTTATGCACCTTAAGCCATACTGGAAACTCCAAAAGAGAGAGCTCCCTCTCGAAGTCAGCAAGGACACCCTGCGAACGCCTGTGAGCCACCAAAACTCTGTCAGTGATGAAAAGGGCAAAGCTAACTACATGAAACCAACTGTCTTTCCTTCAGCCTCCCTTGGCAAAGCAACATCTAGAAAACCTTTTGGGATCCTTTCTCCAAATGTTCTGTGCAGTATGAGTGGGAAGAGTCCTGTGGAGAACAGCTTGAATGTGAAAGCCAAAAAGAATGTGCCGTCTGCAACAGTACAGCAGAGTGGAGAAGAAGGGCTGCCTGGCAGCTGGGCTATCGTCAAGCCTGGGAATACGAAGGAGAAGATTGCATTCTTCGCAGCCCACCAGTGCAGCAGCAGGATGATAGGGTCTATGAAGATCAAGAGCTCCTGGGATATCGATGGGAGAGCCACTAAAAGAAGGAAAAAGTCAGGGGATCTTAAGAGAGCCAAGGTGCACCTAGAAAGGATGAGAGAAATCAGCGGTCAGTGCTACCAGCCGGAGCCCTTTGCATGTGGCATCGAGCACTGTTCTGTGCATTATGTCAGGGACAGTGGGGATGGTGTCTATACGGGGCGGCCTCTGTCGGTGATACAGATGGTTGCCTTCCTTGAGCAGAGGGCCACTGCTCTGCTAGCTAGCTGTGCAAAAACCTGCACAAATTCGCCTGCTATTGTGAAGATTACTGGCCCGTCCCGAGGTGTGCCACCTGAGCCCTTCTGTGCTCCAGGAACCTGTGAAGAACCCACGGAAAGAGGGAATTTTGAGGCTGGCAGGCCACAGAGCGAGCCAGTCCGTGTCCTTGACATGGTAGCCAGGCTGGAGTCCGAGTGTCTAAAGCACCAGGGCCAGCGGGAACCTGGGACCCTGTCACGGAATAACAGCTTCCGTCGGCATGTCGGCAGGGTGCTGCTCACCAGTGGTGCTCAGGCCAGTGACAAAAAGGAAAAGGGCACCGAAGACGACGATGACGACGATGCACCTGACATCGAGGTGCATCCCATGCAGTCAGTGTCTGTGAGCGACCAGGCCTGGGATGGTACGTCTCAGGGCTGTCCCTCACTGCCAGCGGGTGTGAGCTTTCATGTGGACAGTGCAGAATTAGAGCCCGGTCAGCAAACAGCTGGGAACAACTGCAGCAGGCACGACATAGAAATGACAGGTGAATTTGAAGAATTGCCCTTTTCTTCTCACACTTGTCTCCAAGCCACCGAATTGCCCACAACTGTTATCAGCTGTATGAGTAGAGCCCTTGTCCCACTCGGGAGCCACAGTCCTGACCAGAGAAAGGAACCTGTGTGCATCAGCATCACTGTGTGCACAGTAGAGAAAGCGCAGCCTTCTGCTTTAGACCCCCCTGAAGAGCCTCTTCCAGGGATGCTGTTTTTCCTGTCACCGGGACAGGACCAGCAAGAGTGCTCCTCCCAGTTGAATGAACACACAACACAGGAGGCTTCGGAGGCCAGTAAGCCTCAAGATGCTGCTGAGGGCAACCGTGTCTGCGAGGAGAAAGAGGTTTCTGTGGAGCCATCTGTCCCGGCAGCCTCTCTGGTGGACAGTACATTACCAGTGCTTGAGGCATCCAGTTGGAAGAAGCAGGTGTCTCAGGACTTCCTGGAGACCAGGTTTAAAATCCAGCAACTTCTGGAGCCTCAGCAATACATGGTATGCCTGCCTCACCACATCATGGTTAAGATCTTCAGGTTACTCCCCACCAGGAGTTTAGCGGTTCTTAAATGTACCTGCCGCTATTTCAAGTTCATCATCGAATACTACAACATCAGGCCAGCAGATTCTCGGTGGGTTCGAGACCCACGCTATCGAGAAGACCCCTGCAAGCAGTGCAAGAAAAAGTATGTGCAAGGGGATGTGTCCCTGTGCCGGTGGCACCCCAAACCCTACTGCCAGGCCTTGCCTTACGGGCCTGGGTACTGGATGTGCTGCCACAGGTCTCAGAAGGGCTTTCCTGGCTGTAAGCTGGGCCTCCATGACAATCACTGGTTACCCGCCTGCCACAGCTTTAATCGGGCACTCCATAAGAAGGCACGAGGGAGCGAGACGGAAGAGGAGTACTGAAGTCCAGGCGAGAGGCCACAGGCCTGTGAAACACCGAGTCAACCCTGAGGCGTTGACTCCTTCCCCCTTTTCAGGAGTCTGCTCAGATGAGACTGCCATCGCTAGGGCAGTTTGTCAACTCTTAATTTACCAACTGTACATGAGATGCGTTCCATGGCTCGTGTAGTGGTGCCTCACATCTAACCCTTTCAGCCGGGAAGAACTCTGCCTGTTTTCCTCCATCAAGGACATTCAGAGGTCACCAGGTAGTCTCCATAAGGGGATCTGAAGTGTTCCAGTACTGGCTCTGTACTTGAGTGGAAAAGAAAGCAAAACCTCTGAGAATTATGCCTAAAACAGAAAATTGGGCACCTTACCTTACACCTTGTATGCTTGATCCTGTGAGAATGTTTGCAGATGGATTTTATGCCCTGTGGTGTTTACAGTGTATATAATGGTTGTGTTTTCATGGGGCTGTGAAAGTGCACATTAAACCTGAGCGCCTTTACCTGGAGATGAGTGCATTGGCCCCTCTGTAAATAATGTGATGAAAATCCAATATTGTATATTATGGCAGTTGACTAAACATAATCAACACAGAATAAGACAGTATCATATAATAGTCAGATTAAAACATTGTCCATCCTTTTGTCTGGTTAAAAATTTTTTTTAAAAAAAACTTCAATAAAGAATGCACATTTTAAATGGGGCCTGAGTTTACAAAGATTTGGAGGGTGGGGGTGGGATATAATCTTTAAAGATTTTATGCGTAAATGTGGGTGGTACTGGGACCCTCTGAAAGTGTGCTGGAAACCTAATCTGGGTCCTCTGCAAGAGCAACTAGTTTTCTTAACTGCTGAGCCATTGTAGCCCAAAGATGTATTTTGTGTGTGCATGTGCTGGCTCTCGAGGGCCAGCACCGTAGAAGGACAGAGGCAGCCGAGCTGTACCGTGGAGCTTGAGGTCCATGCAGTGTGAGCCACTCAGCAGACTGAACCCGAGTATTCTACCCAAGTCATCTCTCCAGCTGCTGAATGGGAGGGTTTTTAAGGTCCTTAGGAATTGAGTTGTAATAAAAAAACAAAACAACAACAAAAACAACCAAAAAACACAACCAAAGTTTGATGTGTGCTCACCAGCTGCCTAAAGAGGCCAAGAGAGGGCATCAGATCCCCTGGAACTGGAGTTAGAGTGGGTTGTAAGCCCATGTGTGGGTGCTGGGAATCCAACCCGGGACCTCTGGTAGAACAGCCAGTGCTCTTACCTGTGGTGGCATTCTCCAGCCCCCTGGTTAAGGTCCTTCTAAAGTTTTGTTTGGAAGCTTTTTGTGGTGGTTCACGCCTGTAATCCCAGAACTCTGGGGACAAGGCAAGAACACTGCTGAGCTTGAGGCATCCATGGGCTAAAAGAGATTTCAAGCACACCCTAAAAATGTTATCTGAAAGAAGGGAGGGTAGCTTTTAACTTGTCCAGTACGTGCCATATCCCCTGCACAGCAAGCAGTATTCAAGGAGTTCTCACAACCTGTCCATCGTAGTCACTTAGAAGCCACTGAGAATCTCTTCAGGCTGTGGCCAGCTGTCTGATGCTTAGTAAAGCTGAGGAGTCCTGAGCTCCCAAAAGTTGGGGTTTGGAAAAAAAAAATCCGAAGACTAGGTTGGTCTGAAATAAACCACACACACACACACACACACACACACAAAACCTGTTATTAACGGAAGTTGCAGGCAGGGAGGACAGACGACAGATGCAGGTGAGTGATAGGAAGAAGATAGATTTGGCCAGGACTCGCAGGGCGCGGAGGGCGGGATGACATCGGCCTGTGGTGAGCAGAGGGGCTTCCAAACTGGAATTAGTTTTGATTTTTTTAAGATTTAAAATGTGTGTGTGTATGTGTGTGTGTATACATACAAGTGCATTTGTCTTTGTAAGCCAGAAGATGTCTGATCCCCTGCATCTGGAATTACAAGCAGTTACGATGTGAGTGTTGGGAGCCAAACCTGGGTCAGTGGCTCCTAACTGCTGAGCCATCTCTCTTGTTTGGGTTTTTTATCTTTAGCAATAATTGCTAAGGGCAGGCTGAAACTGCAAAGTGACTCCATGCCAGGGAGGCCACCCCTGACAAATGGGCCATGCTATGCTGGCCTGCAGACTCAGGCTGAGAACAGCTTATCTTCAAGACATCTGCTCTTGGTTTGTGCCAAACTGGCAATCAGTGTCCAGTAAGTTTGTTATTTAATTCCTCATAATGTGGGATTAAAGGAGATACACAGAGGAGGACAAGGGTGTAACATACCTCATGCACTGTGTGTTCAACCAGTGCTGGCCATGGGTCTCCCTCCTGGGTACACGGGGTAAATAACTGGGTTTTCATGAGTCAGCATTTCTGACCTGGTTATCACATGCTACACAGCTGTGTGGGGCTGGGCTGACAGCAGGGGCACAGGGTGGCCCCATGCCACCTGCATTACCTCAGAAATAGATGGCCCGATTTGACCTGTGGCAGGACAGGGTTCCCAGTGCTGAATAGAGGCTTTTGCTGGTGGTATCAGAAGGCACCCATGCTGGTCTCTACTGCCAGAATGTAATGCTGCTTTTTGAGAAAGCCTACGTTGCCCCCTAGTGTCGAATGTAGAAATAACCCACTTTGATTTTGGTTTTAAGAGTCTCTGGATAGATGTTTTGCCTGCATGTGTTTGTGTACTGCCTGCATGCAGTTCTGTGGAGGCCAAAAGAGGCAATACGTCCCCTAAAATGGGGGTTACAGACAGTTGAGAGCTGCCCTGTAGGTGCTGGGAACTGAGCCCCAGTCCTCTGGAAAAGCAGCCAATATTAAGCCCCCCAGGAAAGTACTCATGTCAGCATGGGTCTCCCTTCCTGCATCGCTAAAGGATCACGACATAGACATTCCAGGGCCCTCCCCGTCCTACCCAGTCGAAGAAACTGCACTTTCAGCGCCCCCAGGAGGCACTGCCACCTTCCTAGTGCTTCTTCCACTTCTCAAGTCGTCCTCAGTTGGGAACTGGCTCCCCACCCCACTTTTCAGGTGGTTTGACAAGCTCTTGCTACCAGTTGGGGAAGGGACAAAGAGAATGCATTCGCGTTTGGTAGCAATTTGTAATCCCAGCACTTGGGATCACCTATTTGAGGCCATCCTGGGCTACGTAGTGAGACTCTTTCAACAAAACCCCAAACATAATATGCTTGTTGATGTCTGTCCTGGGCACTGCTGGCTCCACCCCAGCATCTGCCAGCACTCGGTCCTGTCTGCTCTGCAGGTGCCCGTCGGGTGCCCCAGCGTGACCCTCTTGATGTAGTTCTCTGGCCTCCGGGTGGCTAGTTTCAGCGTCCACCTTCAGTGCCTCACGTGGTACATACTTCATAACATGTTTGCAACCAATGTTTGATCAGCACGCTCAAACATTGGGTGAGCCAAATTCCCAACCTTTTTCACTTTTTTTTGAGACATGGTTTCACATAGCCCAGGACATCCTTACATTTATGATCCTCCTGCCCCAGCCTTCTGAGTGGCTGGGGTAACAGGCATGTACCATCAGACCTGGCTCCCTAGTGCCAACTCAATGTGACAGGTGCTGGCAAGTATGGACAACACTGGCTCATTCCATAAATTTCTATGGAAACCTGAAGAGAATTGAAGGATCTCTGCCTCTGGACATAGCTGATCCCAGGAAACTGTGCTTGTCTAGAGAAATTCCTACAGGAGCTATGGCTGTTTTGTTCTGGACCCCACTATACAGATGCTTGCTCTAGACTACTGCTGCCAGTAGCTCCCAAACAGCAGGCTATGGGCAGGTGCTCCTGGCCAGACCGTGGGGTTCCCTTAGGCTTTGTCTCGTCCCCTTTGTCATGTGTACTCTGGGTGTCTGTTAGCCTTTTGAGGCCATCTTGGACATGAGTACTAGCGCTCTTTGCCACATCAATCGTTGACATTTCTCTGCTCAGCAGACTGCCTGTTTGTCGTCTTCGACCACAGACTGCTTCACATATCCCAGAGTCATTTGACACCAAACCCTTCTTCACACCATGTGCAGAGTCAATAATGAACTGACATCACCTACTGCATGTCAGGTACCAAGTCCTGTAATCGTATGTTGCACACACAGTGGAATTCTGTCGTTTCAAGTCTGTTTCCTTTGGTTCACATGGACTAGTGTTAAGACTTAAAAGTGTGAGCAGTACACCATCCCTTCTGCCGTGCACACCACTCCTAACTTTATGGAAGGTTATGGCCGTAGCTGATGTCTGCAAAGCTGCATGGGGAGAGCAAACTTTGTGGTTAGGCATCTCTCTGTGCCTAGCTGTTGCAGCAGAACTTCAGTGGGGCAGCACCCACTCTAGGTGGCTGACCTTGTTGCTTGAGGGGAACAATGTCACTAGAGTTAGCAGCTGGGAACAGGACTAGAATGGCACAGAGATGGCATCCCTTGTGGAAAGGAGGAGACCTACTTCAAGGCAGTGAGGGCTGGCAAGATGCTCCTCTGATAAAGGGGTCTGCTGTGCGAGCCGGGCGTCCACATAAAGGTGGGCAGAGAATGGGCTCCACAAAGCTGTCTTCTTTCCACTACATGTCTGCAGCACACATTCCCCCTCTAATTTCTCTAATTATAAAAAAGCCAATGAAACCTTTTTCACCTTCTCCTAAGGTCCCTCAGCAGAGAAGTGAGTCTCCAAAGGTATCTATCTGTTCTAGAGGGTTTATTTTTCCCCACCCCACTCTGGTACTGGAGTCCAACCCAGAGCCATGCTAGGTAGATGGGTCACCATTAAGCTGCATGCACCTCTGCCCTTTCAAGCTTGATTTGTTGCATTTTAATTTTGAGATGGATTCCAAGTTGCTCAGGTTGGCCATAACTTGTTCTGACTCAGCCTCTTCAGTGCTGGGGGAGCACCATGCCTACTCCCTCCTCTTCCCTTTTTTCCCCCCCAGGACAGGGTTTCCCTGTGTAGTCCTGGCTGTCCTGGAACTCAGTCTGTAGAGCAGGCTGGCTTCGAACTCAGAGATCCTCCACCTCTGGAGTGCTGAGGCTGAAATCGTGCACCACCTCTGCCCTGTCCTTCTGACTTTGTAAAGACAGGGTCTCCTAATGGAACTTGGAATACTCCTCTCTCCTTCCAGGTGCTGACATTACAGGGTTGTACCATCATACTGAGCTCAAACTATTTTAGGTTGGGTTTGCGAAAATCCAGAAGGCCCTCGAATGTTCTCACTTTGAAATGATAAGCACATGCGAAGTAGGTTCTCAAGTGAGCACTGAGGGGAAAGCAGCATATGCCCAAATGAAAATTTGGTGCCTACCCCTTGGCTGAAGGCAGCTAGTAACAGTGCATAGCATGTAATGTCAGCCAGGTAAGGCTAGCTGCTGCAGCTGGTAGTGAGCAGTATGCAGACACTAGGACTCAGAGCAGCAACAGTGGGGTATACAATCTGCTGTGCCCTTTAAATGACCCCTCTCCTTTCTCTTCTGCACACACTGAACCACAAAATCAAAGCAGAGTCTCTGACCTGACAATGGTCTACTATGGAGTATGTTGATTTTCTTTTAAAAGGAAAATCAGTGGCTGGATCCAGTAAGAACAATGGGAAGTTGTATTTAATCCAGTTTGTCCCTGCTACATTGTCTGCATAGCTGTGCCTATAGTTTGGTAGGAATGGAGCCAAGCGTGGCCCACCCAGCCTGCCTCATTCTGGGACCAAGCTGATGACCTTCACTCTGCCCTCCCTCTCCAGCCCTCTCTGAGTAGCCTGAGTGGCTGCAGGGAGGGTAGTTATTGGCTCGAGTTGGCCTTATTTTCCCTCCCAAGCAGAGATAGGCTGGCTGTCTCAGGGTTCAAACTGGGACCTGTGGCATGAATGACCTTTTCCATGACCAGCAGTCTTGGCCCTGGCCTTCTTGAACCTGCTAAGCAGATTCTGAAGGAAAAAAAAAAAAACGAAAAAGAAAAAAACAAAACACACACACACACACACACACACACACACACACACACACACACACACACAAACCTACACTAGGCAAATGAGCAAGTTCATGTGTAATTTATAAGGTGTGGATATAGGGGTGTACCGTCTCCAGTATTTGCCAAACCCAGGGCAAAGACAGAAAACTTACCTTCAGTCATCTACCACCACCTCTGCCCCCCCTTTCTGTCCTCTGCACAGAGGTACACCTTCACACTTTAGGGTTTGTTTTGTTGAGACTCACTAGTAGCTCTGGCTGTCTTGGAACTTACTATGTAGACTGTCTACCAGGTATCTTAGTTAGGGTTTCTATTTTGGTGAAGAGACACCATGAACACAGGAACTCTTACAAAAGGAAAAACATTTAATTAAGGTGGCTTACATTTTCAGAGGTTTAGTCCATTATCTTCATGGAGTGACATGGTGACATGCAGGCAGATATGGTGCTGGAGAAGTAGCCAAGTGTCCTACATCTTGGCTTGCAGGCAACAGGAGGTGGTCTATCTCATTGGGAGTAGCTTGAACATATGCGATCTCAAAGCTCACCTCCACAGTAACACACTCCCTCCAACAAGGCCACACCTCCTAACCATGCCACTCCCTTTGTGGGCCACTTTTTTTTCAAACCATCACACCAGGCTAACCTCAACTCAGATACACCTGCCTCTGCCTTTGCTTCCCAGTGTTAGGAATAAAGGCACAGGTCATCACACCTAGCCAAAGACTTAAGGGCCCTTATCTGTGGAGGACAAAGCTCAAGGCTCATCCTTAAACTATAGAATCAACTTCCGGAAGTGGGAGTCCCCAGGAGTCCAAGGTGGCAGCGCTGCTTCACAAGGTATACATGACAAAACCAAGGACTGTGTGTAGTGATGGGTCTGAGGGCTCCCAGGCCTGGAAGAAACAGATGGGATGAAGCAGGAAGGCATCAAAAGGTGATGCCGCCAATCAGCCTCTGGCCACTGAGCAAGAAGGAGTGAGCCTGGAAGGGCAAAGGGGAGATAACCCAAGAAAGCCCTAGGCAGGATATAAGAAGCAGGTGCAGTCACTGCATCAGACAGACTTTCCCCAATGTAAAGCCCCTTAAAGGCTACTTCAGAATCTCCTCCTCTGTGCCTGGGAAGAAGGAACCTATTGCCTAAATCTTGAGGCTCTTCCAGAGGCCCTTAGTGCTTAGATATTCCAATTTCAGAACAGAATAACTTTTAGTGAGACCATGAGCAAATCACTGCATTAAGTTCTATTTCCTCTTGACCATGCAGCTCTACTTCAATGATCTTAAACAGTACACAGATGTGTAGAAAGGAAGGTTGTGATTTAGTGGGCCCGAGGGAGTGCCCCAGATGCAGAATTTCTAGCAAGTTCCCAGGTGATACTAATTTTGCAGTTACAGTCTCACACCCAGTAGAATGGGAGAAATGTTAGAGTAAGCATCTTGGGCATGCCCAGTGCAGCGGATGATCTCTGCTTTGACAGTCTTTCTCTAAGGTCATCAAGGAGTCAGAATTCTCTTATGCCATCAGCAGCAGCACCCACCAGAAAGTGTTATTTCCCTGTCACCACTAGACCACCTCCTCCTCAACTGAGGATCAGATGCCATGCCTGTCACTGTTGACACCTCCTGACTACTGCTGCTAAACCAATGAGCAATTATCCAAAGAGCTAGCTATGCACATACTTGTTTATACCTGCAGAAATGTCTTCCGAATTTAGGAAATGCACCACTAAACAAGTATAGGGAAGTACTTTCCTCAACATCTGGCTGTCCTCGGAAGTCATAATAAATGCTACACCACCATACTCCAAAGTGAGGTGGGTGTGGAATGATGATGATGCTGGTTCTGGGAGCATCAACACTTCGGAACGAGAGTCTTCACTAAAGAGTTTTCTCTCAACCTGCCCCAGCCCACTGTCATCACTGACCTTGAACCTCTAGTCAATTTCTTGGCTTTGAAAAAAAGATTTATAGCTTGGACATGGTAGCTGATGCCTTTAATCCCAGCACTCAGGAGCCAGGGGCAGGTGGATCTCTGTAAATTTGAAGTTAGCCTGGTCTACATAGCAAGTTTCAGGTCAGCCAGAGCTTCGCATTGAGAGACTGCTTCAAAAACAAAACAATGATGTATAAGACTTATTTGTATGTGTATTAATGCTTTGCCTGCATATATGTATTTGCAGCACACGAATCTCTGATGCCCACAGAAGCCAGAAGGCGGCACTGGATCCCCTGGAACTAGAGTTAGGATGGTTGTGAGCCACCACGAGGGTGCTGGGAATTGAATTAAGGTCCTCTGCAAAAGCAGCCAGTACTCTTAACCTCTAAGCCATCTTTTCAGATTAATTTCTTGCATTTTAAGTCCATTAAAGTTTCCATCAGACCCTCTCTCACATCCCAGCCCCTTGTACTCCTTTCTACAAACACACAATGACAACATGTTATTGTGGTTCTTGCTGAGTCACCATTTGAATTCTTCAAGAAGTCTGTCCCAGGTTGCCGAGGTGGCCCAGTGGGTAAAAGCACTGGCTACCACATCTGCAGACCTGAGTTCCATCTCTGGGACACAGCAGAATGAGAAAAGACTCACAAGAGTTGTTTGACATCACACATGTGTGCACACAAAGTGATTTTCATAATGAAGTGTGCCACCCTGGTGGCTTTTGGTGTTTAGAGAAAAATTTGCTTCATCGGTTTAACTCTATGGGTGAAAACCCCTTTCCAGGCTCTTTTCTCACCAGATGCTTGGGGGGGGGGGGGGGCAGCACAACTGAGGCGCTCAGAGGTCACGCCCAGGCCTTCCTGTCACACTTTACTGAAGCGTTCCTACCGACTGGGAAGTCTCCTTTTCTTCCCATCTGCCTCACTTCCTGCCCCAGACAAATGTGACCGTGGATGAAACACCTTCCTTCATTTACACGGACACCTGCTTCTGGCTTCTACCTAGGAAGACGGAAAGGCAGCAACTCAGAAGCTCAACCCCTCTTTGAAGAGCCTTCCTTCCATCCCAGAGAAAGCAATGAACGGGCATGACTGACCATTCAGCATCCTTCCTGAGGGCCCAACCTGTCCCACCTCAGTCACTTACCCCTCCACTTCTAGGTGGCTCTTCCACACTCCCCCGGAAGCTACTGGTGCCATCTGAGAGATTAAATACAAAACAGATTTCCAAAGCTAGCAGACTCATCTTGGCTTGAGAAGTCCCTCTAACATGTGAGTGAGCAGGTTCCATGTGGGCATCTCAGAGGCCCACTCAAGGTTATGGCAATCAAGGAAAAACAGGTCTTTAGAGAATGAAATATGTGACAAACAACTACTTTCTTGTTTGCCAAAGATGGGCCATCATGACTAAAGGCACCGTAATCAGTAATTTTAAAAACAAATTTCTTACCACGCAAAACATTCTTTAAGCGTTCCTCTTTAATTTACATGAAGCACTCCAGGGTTGGCTTGCACTCTTGTTAACTTCAATGTAGCAGAAACAAATGGTAACCGGGAAAAGGCACACAGAGCCGAGTGCTGTTAAAGGATTTATTGCAGTAATACAGTAAAAGTTGAGAGGACATCTGTGTGACCCACCCTGATGTGGAAGTCTCAGATGCAGCGAGGGGTTCTGATGCTCAATTCCTTCCAGAGCACCCCGACTCCTCGCCCAGTACTGTCCATACTACGGTGACTTACTGTCTCTCCAGTAAGTCACACAGGTGGCAAACTTTCCTTGGTTCTATTCAATTACATAAAAATGTCTTTTTTAAGACCATTTAAGCAGCCTACGCGCGGTACTCGGAGTTTCAATTAGTATTACCTTGTTTCAATAAATCATTTTAAAATGGGAAACATGACCAACTTCTATGGCTTTTGGTTTAAAAAAATACCAGCTCCATTTCTTCAGAAAGCTGTTTACATATGGTTCTTGCACCTACATGGGAGGTTTTATAAGCAGCAAAGAGTACGGGGGAAACAGTGGTTGAAATGTGTACTTAAGAATATTTACAACAGGTGGGTCCAGTGCAAAATAATGAAACTCAAAGGATTTCAGCAGCCTAGGGCAGTCATTTCCTGTGACGTAAAGTGACCAAAGTGCCTCCATTTGATACTAAAAACAAAATACCATCAACCCTACACTTCCTGCTTCTGCTTTGTTGACCGCTGTAGACAGGAGTGCGTGACGTCTACACTTTCTGAAGCTTCCTCTCAAGCTCATGGTTTCTTTTTCAGCTGGTATCTGTTCATTCTACCAGACTCAGTCTACAAATTCTAGAAGTAGAGGGAAAATGCAAGCAACAATTATGAAGCTGAGCAGGACAGACTTCAGTCAAATGAATGCCTGCAAGAGGGAAGCTGTCTCCTCCTCAGGTGGAGATTTAGAGCAGGAGACCATGGGGCTCCTGGTAGGAATACAATCCTTTCTACAAGTCTACCAACAGCAAGAACTCTATAGCACCTAAGTCTGCAAAGTATCAACCATAACGGTAAACAGAAGCTAGGGGGCAGCGAACCCCTGAAGGACTTGCCTGAGGTACATACCATGGCACCAGGCACACTAGGAAGGTACGGCCACCGCCTTGAAGGGCGCTTTTCACAGGACTTCTGTGGTCTGTTACATAGGCCTTCTTTCTTTTTTGAAGTTATTAGAAATAAGAAAGAACTACTTACAAATTTGAACATAATGCCTCTCGTTATAGTTTTCTGTAAGATTGTCATTAAAATGGTCTCTTGGAGGAAATTCCTCGAGCACTTCCTGGAACTGCTGCACGGTGCTCCACACTCTGCACAAGGTGCTGCCTCCAGAGCCAAGGAGACACCCGGAACAAGCAGGAGGGGTTTCCCCGGAACACCTCCCCACCAAGAAACTGGACAGCAAGAGAATGACCACTTAATCAAGTGTTCAATCTGTGCCCAGGCAGCATTTAGCTCATATAGGGAATGATAAAGGGAAAAAGTACTACTTTAAAATGAGTATAGTACAGAGAACTCCAATGACTTACACAAGAATGAACCCATTTCCCCTCAGAATACAAGGAAACTGTCTGGACATCTCCAAACATCCCAGCTAGGACTCCCCCATCCGTGATGTGGGTCTGTAGACTAGAGACGGCGGTGTCTTTGGTGTGTGGTAGAAAATCAGGAATGTGATGCATGACGACAACGATAGCAAAAAGCTTTCACCACCACCTCCCCTCCCCAGACGACGGCCTCCCCCGTAAGACCAAAGCTGTGGCTGGCAAGTCTCTCAAAAAGATGACAGAAAAAAACAAACTCAGCTTTTGTCTTCCATTTCTCACGACCAAGAAACACTTCCTTGTGATCTGACAAAGTCTAGAACTTAGTGTCGGGAAGACTCAGCATCCCAGGAACCAGCACACTGTGGGGTCGAAGGAGCTAAGACCAGGGGCCAGGAGGCCACAAGCTCAGGGCTGGCAGAGGTCCTGAGCACGTCAATCACCATCACAGGCCACCTGACAGGCACATGTGCTTGTCCTAGCGCTAGGTTAGCCCCTCTGATAACTACAGAGACAAGGTTATTAGAGTGCAGTGGGAAAGATTTCACATGTCCTGGTCCACTCTCATTAGCGGTGTCCAGTATATGCTTTGAACCAGGAGGTCACCGAGGCTGCGGCCGACGAGATCATCCCACCAGCACTGCTGCTGGCTATGGGTGGAGATGCCTGGGTGCTCTGGCTCTGGGAAACTTCCACGGGCTGGGAAGGGATGTCACAGAATCGGGGGCTAGGCAGGTTCTCCCAGTCTGTGCCCAGGTCAGTCTCCTCATCGCTTACACGCTCGTCTCCACTCACATCTGATTCTCCAGCAGCTCCAGGGTCCACAAATTCCATGGACTCCTCAAGGTCTGCTCGCACTTCAAAGGGTCCTGACCTGTGTGTACATAGACGGGCTGTATAAGCACAATCTCCCATCCCAAGATCATCTGAGTTGGCGTTACGGGGCATGGGAGAGGAAAGCGACTTGCCCTGCTGCATTTCTTTATTCTGTGTGTGTGAGAGACAGAAGCGAGCACAAGGAAGCAGGCATTCATGTGGAAGCCGCAATACAACTTTCAGGAGTGATTCTCTCCTTCCAGTTTTCTTTTACAACTTGTGTATACTAGGCAGCTGGTACCACAGCTTCTAGGCGATTCTTCTGTCTGGGCCTCCCACCTCAGACTACAGATGTGTGCTTCCTCACCCAGCTGGCTTTCTCCATGGATTTCAGGGACTGCACTTGGGTCTCATTGCTTGTACAGCAAGCACTTGAACCCACTGGAGTGAGCCACCCCCCACCTCCCCCCACCCCCACCTGCCCCATGTCTTTACTCTTGATGGAAAATGATTTTTTTTTTTAACATAACACATTTCTTCCAGGCAAGCAATTTGAATCTTTATCTTTCTACTAGGTTGCTTTTCCCTTACTGACTGAAAGACAGACTACTCTAGATTTGGTTTTTTTTTTTTTTTTTTTTTTTTTTTTAGACAGGGTTTCTCTGTGTAGCTTTGCGCCTTTTCCTGGATCTCGCTCTGTAGACCAGGCTGGCCTCGAACTCACAGAGATCCACCTGCCTCTGCCTCCCGAGTGCTGGGATTAAAGGCGTGCACCACCACCGCCCGGCCTACTCTAGATTTGGATTTGCTCTCTATTACAGATGTTGCAAATGTTTATTGTCTGTCTCTTTGTTTAAGATATAAGGCCTTACTTACTAGAGTCAGTTAGTCCCCACACAGTAATGTGTGGGGCTCCCTTCACTTATCCATTTTTGAAGTATGGTTTGGTTAAAATTTCACTCACTACCCTATGAGTATAGACTAGTCTTTTCTCTTAGGTCTCTTATACATCATTTAAAAACAGGATCTTTTATTTCTGGAACTTGTTTTTGTATATAGAATATGATAGAAAACCAACTTTTTCCTCATTTAATGCCAACCAGTCCAACACTACTGACTATGATCATCTAACTCAGCAGGCTGCTGAAACACAGTCCTGCAGGTCTACGATCTGCCTCAGGACTCCTCCTCTTTTCTAATACCATGCATACTATTTCTATGCCAACAGCAGCTTTCTTAATGGGGGGGAGTATCTGAGACAAGATCTTACTATGTAGCCCCAGGCTGGCCCAAAGTCACAGGCCTTCTGCCTCAATTTCCCAAATACTGAAATTAAACTAACTTTTTTTTTTGAGACAGGGTTTCTCTGTGTAGCTTTGCGTCTTTCCTGGATCTCGCTCTGTAGCCCAGGCTGGCCTCAAACTCATAGAGATCCGCCTACATCTGCCTCTTGAGTGCTGGGATTAAAGATGTGCACCTCCACCGCCCGGCTAAATAAACGTTTTTATTTTTTGTGTATATTACTGGAGGTGGGCATGCCATAGCAAGCATGTGGAAGTCACAGCACAATCTGTGGGAGTCATTTCTTTCCTCCCACCATGTGGGCGGGGAAACCCAAATCAGGTAAAGTCCCTTTACCCCTTTACCTACTGAGCCATCTCCCTGCCTGCCCCCGCCCCTCCCAAAAAAGCCATGTTTTTAAAAATTAACTTCATGTGCCCTGTTTGGAAAGGGCCAGCCCTTGTTATTCCTACTCTGCCCCTGCTGCCAATGCTCCAGGGTGATCTTTGGAGTCAGTTTGTCAAAACTCTGAAATGCCTGCTGGAATTCTCCACCAGTCCTCCTTTTGGGACGAAATGGCACATCTTTAGCTGAGAAAGTGATGAAGGAGTTCACTGCCTCAGACCTGCTGCATACAGACTACTCCTTATCCAAGAGGCCACTCAAGAAATGTGTGTCAAATAAAACCTGACTGTTTCCTTTCCACAGATGCTCCCCAACTTGAGAGCTGGAAATATTTAATAAGTCAAAAATGCAAATAACATTTAACTATGCACATGCTAGGCTCATGCACACACTTGCCCCTTTTGAGCTGCTCAGGCTTGCCTCAATTTGTGGTCCTCTTGCCTCAGCTCCTGAGTAGCTGTATCCAGGCATTTGCCACCTCAGTCAGCTCAAAAACTCTAATATACCACAGTAACAAACATCAACATTTAGTGTGGTCTAACTTTAACACACTCAGAGTGCTTACATTAGCCTACAGTTTGAGCAAAATCACCGAGTAAAAGCCCATTTTCCAAAGTGTAGACACATCAGCTATATCCCACCTCTACAAAAACATGTGCATATTCTGATGAGAGTAAGGACAATGGGTAAGAGCCTAGAGCAGGTTACAGAAGATGAGCCTCGAGAAGTTCATGCTCTTTTGGGCTGGGTGCTGAAAGTTATCTAGAGTAGACCAAGGGGGAGGGGGGTGTTCATTGTTCCTGACTTCTGTCTTTAAGCAGATGAACTTCAAGGCAGCTCACTCTATCGACTTCCAATACTTGTAACAAATAGTGATCACACTGACCGGGTGAGGACAGAGCATCCGTAAGCACAAAGGAAAACACACAAGAGACAGCACAGCTGCCAGAGGCGAGTTAGAAAAGAAGTACACGAGCTTCAAGAGAAGCACAAGGTGGTGGCCAGGGCATCTGAGCCCTCTACTACATGTCACATGCTAAATGTACTCTACCGCAACTTTCTCTAAGAGATGACTGCAAAAGGAGAGCAGAAGGCCACTCGTGATCAGCTGTTTCTTCTGCACAATACTGGACAACTTCTGTCCTTGCCAGAGAATTCAGGACTTGGGGAACACCAGATACTAGGCCAGTGCGCATCCTGGTTCTACTTAAAAGCAGCCACTGAGAAACAATGCTCAGAGAAAAGCCGCACATACAACTTACCTGCCTAGGTGCTCTGAGTGGGGGCTGACCAGATGCATTAAGTTCCTGAGGGTATGCAGTGGTTGTAACTGATCCAAATTCACATGCTAGGAAAAGCAAAGGCTTGATTAGTACTTTCAACACACAGCGACTTCAAAATGAGTTCAAAGCCCAGGGCTTGTACCTGAGAGGAACAAAGGTAGAGGATGTTTGCGTTCAGTCTCTTCACCGCACGAGTCAGTTTCTGTTTGCTGAGGTTTTCCCCACAGAACTCACTGTAAGACAAGGATACCACTTCTAAGATTGGTCTCCAAGACAGTCTATTTTAAAACGTTCCTTCTGAAGGGTATGTCTCAAGTGCAGTTCAGCACCAGCACAGCACATTCCTCCTTAGTAAACCGCCTGGAACGAACACTCCCTAAGTACTGAGCTACGGCCCTTACGGGGAGCAGCTCTCGTCATCTCTAGAACCTGCAGCTGCATGTTCCTGGGCGACTGAGCAACTGTGCCTCAGGAGCTCATACCACACAAGCAGGAATGCTATGGAAGGGACACACGTGGGGGCACATGAAGCACCAATAGGGGACTGTGGGGAAGGAAAAACAACCACCACCCACTTGGTGCACGGTGACACTGGAGACTTCCTAGGGCCCCATGTGCGCTCCTCTTAATCCCCACTGCCTTCCGCCTCCTGGGACTTCTTCCTTTTCTGCCTGTAGCTTTCTTCCTTAGCATCCCATCCACGGCTTGTTCCTTTCCTACTATGCCCTGAGTTAGGGATATAGCTCAGAGGAAGAGCACTGGACCATCTGGGTCCAATTCCCCATGACAGACAAAAACAAAAACTGAGGGGAAAGATAACCCACGCCCCTCCTGCCTTCACTGATCTCCATCAGCACTAATCACCATGGTAAATCCAACTGTTAATTATTTGAGCACATGTCCAAAAGCCCAGCAACCAGATATTGAGGCAAGAGGAGCCTCAGGCCATACCAGCCTGGGCTACATGAGACCTTGCTTAAAAACAAACAAACAAACAAACAAACAAATCCTTTAAGTATAGCCTGCTTCTGTCCAGTGGTAAATGCATGGTAACTGGAGGGTGGGGAGCTCTAAATGGGAACTGGATAGACTGTGTCTTTACAAATTTAAACATGAAGCTGGGCAATGGTGGTACATGCCTTTAATCCCAGACAGAGGCAGGTGGATCTCTATGATTTCAAGGCCAGCCTGGTCTACAAATTGAGTTCTAAGACACCCAGAGCTGTTACACAGAGAAATACAGTCTCAAAAAACAAAAAAGAAAAAAAAATTTAAACATGAGGCCAGGCAGTGGGTGGTACACCCCTTGGACCTCAGCACTTGGGAGGCAGAGGCAGGTGGATCTCTGTATGTTTGAGGACAACCTGGAAAGAGTTCCAGGATGGCAAGGACTAAGTCACAGAGAAACCCTGTCTGGAAAAAATTTTTTAAAAAAATTAAAAAAAACAAATACAATAATAGTAATAATGTAAGCATGAGGTTTTCATAAGAATGAAACAACCTTCCCAACCCCACCCCATCACACTTCACTCAGCTCCCGTGCACAGGATCTGCAGCATCCTCCCTGCATCCCCTGGTCCTTTGGTTATTTCCCCAAGAACCAGATGGAGTCTCTGTCGTCTCCTCAGATTCATGCATGACTGTAATGAACAATGAACCCGGAAACATCTTCTGAAAACAATGTTAATATTTCTGCCAAGCCTTCTCTTAGCTAGTGTAAGGGCACACCAGGAACTCAAGAAATGGCTGACGAAGTATTGCCACCTTGATCACTTGCCTGTTGCACAGTTTTTTGGGCAGATTGACATCCAGTATGTGAGAGACGATGTTGACCAGCTGAGTAGCATAGCCCAGCGCAGCACTGATGGTGTAGGCAGGGTTGTTATGCTCCATGTCTGGGGATGGACACAGAAGTCACACACAGAGCACCTCCACATCAGTAAAAACAGCGAGAACTGAGACTTTTCACTTAGGGTTTTATAGTTACATTACTGATACCAAGTTTGAGACTTTTCACTTAGGGTTTTATAGTTACATTACTGATACCAAGTTTCACTCTCACGGCCTGGTCAAATACAAACAGTTCTAAAGAAGCCAAGCATAAATGGATTAGAGTCTAGACTGACTGGGCCTGGCAATGCATCACCTAACAGTTAATGAATGACCAAATTAGCTCACTGTGGTGACTCCTATCTGTTAATGCCAACACTGGGAGGCTGAGGCAGGAGAATCAGAAGTCTGAGGCCAGCCTGAGCTATATGAGATCCTTCCCCAAAAACCAAGATCAGGAGGCTGGCGAGATGGCTCAGAGGCTAAGAGCACTTGCTGCTCTTCCAGAGGCCCTGAGTTCAGCTCCCAGCACCCGTGTTGAGTGGCTCTGCACAACTGTGCGTAATTCCAGCTCCAGGGTGATCAGAAACCCTCTTCTGGCCCCCACACTCGTGTACATACATTCACACAGACACATAGGTACACAAAGTTAAAAACTAAAGTAAATCTTTAAAACACACAAGGGCGAGGCTATAGCCTAACATGCAAATGCCCTGGGCTTGATCTCCAGTAATGTCCAACTCAAACGTCACCTCCTCAGAAAAGCCTTTCCTTTTGTTGTTGTTGTTTTGTATTTCAAGACAGGGTTTCTCTGTGTAGCTCTGGCTGTCCTGGAGCTCGCTCTGTAGACCAGGCTAGCCTCAAACCCAGAGATCCATCTGCCTTTGCCTCCCGTGTGCTGGCATTAAAGGCGTGCTAAAGTACAACGTAGAAAGGCCTTTCTTGACTAAAGGTAGTCAAAGGTTGTCCCTTCCTTTGCACCTCTGCCCTACCCCAAAACTCCTGGCTGTTCTCTTAGCACCCACTCAGGGTATGGCCCCCTCACCACTTCCTTATAGCCTGGGATGGTTAGTTTTAATAAGCAACTTAACACACCTAGAGTCTCCAGTAATGTCCAACTCAAAATATGTGCTGAATGACTAATGGACCATTCTTCTCCACCCAAGACAAACTGTAGGGGCATTTCCACTTCCATTTAGTACTCCAATAGTTCAAAGCTAGACACTAAAGCCCAAATGCAAAAGGCAGCAAGATGCTCCTGTATAAATAGGAGTTTCCCTTCTTCTTCCCTCCCTCCCTCCCTTCCTACCTAGAGAGATAGATAGGGTCTTGCTATACGGCCCAAGCTGGCCTTGACAATCCTCATGACTCGGCCCTCCAAATGCTAGGATAACAGGCATGAAATACCAGAGTTGGTCTAATTATGTCTTTTTATATGAATTAAGTAATATTAACCCCAAAGGTGAAATGTCATCAATCTATGAAGTGATGAATATATAAAATGTAGATAGCCAAACAATGGAAAACTATTCAGTCATAAAAAGCAATGGAGTACTAATATATGCTATGACATGAACTTGTAAAAGAAGGCTAAATGAAAGAAAGCAGACACACAGACACACACACATATACTCTGCATGATTTCACTTCTAAGTTGTCTAGGCTAGACCATCTACTGGTAGAAAGCACACTGGCTGCGCTGCCTAGAGCTGGGGAAGAGGGAAAGGAAACGAACGTAGACACCTGCAGAGCATGCGGCTTTCATGGGGATGAGAACACTGCTGCAGACAGCTGTGCATGCACTACCCCCAACTGTGCACTGTGCCGCAGCACTGTCCACTCTGTCATGTCATCCATTTTCAAAGACTATTTTGCTCCTCACCAGGCCCTTGGGTTGTCTTCTTCTCTTCTACCCAATTGTAGTAGGCAGAGTAGTCCCCGTTGTTCGGGAGGCTAATCCAAGGGCCTGTAATGCTAATACTGGTGTCACCATTGTGGTCATCACAGACCCATCTTCCGGAGAGGTAAGTTGTCCTCCGGGCCTCAGCAAGCTTGCTCACCATGCTGGAGGTCATGGCACTGTCACTCTCCGAAGACACGTCTGCAGGATCTCTGCAGACCAACAAGAAAGATTAGAGAGGAAACGCCGAAGCCACCTGCGTTTTAAAGAAGCAACAGTGTACATCTAACACGTGTTAAGAAAAGGTCACCAGCAGGCACAAGCACAGAAGGCAGGGTTCCCTCCTGTCTTGTCCAGCCATCCACGTGTACACTGTCACAAGAAACACACGGTCACAGGTGTGGAACTGTGTGAGCAGCAGAGTGCACTCATACAAATGAAGACCACACCGCGACATGGCCCAGTATCGTGGGACTACGTGGTCTTGCTGACCCAAAGTCATTATGTGCCACATGACGACATGTGTACATGTTTCCTTTTTAAAAAATTTCAACCTTATGGAAAAGTTACAAGAGTTTTAAAGTTTTACCCAAATTACCAATTCTGGAAAATGTAATGATCAAAATTAGGAAGCCTAAATTCAATCCTCATACTGAAAAACAAACAAAACACAACAAGGAAGGAATTAGTCTGTTATCTTTTTTGTTTGGTTTTTGAGTCAGGGTCTCAGTCTCTCAGGCTGGCCTTGAATTTGCTGTGCTACAGAGGCTGGTCTTGAACTCCTAAAGTTATAGGCGTATGCTGTCACACACACCCAACTACTGTGGTACAGATCAGGTCATTTACAGTACTCCTAACTCATCTCCAGAGCCGATTCAATTCTGTAGTTGTAGTCCAGGATGCAAATCCAGAATAATGTATTGTGCTCAGGTAACTGCTGATCGATCAGGATGTAATGCTGGCACAAGGCTTCTGTTCCACCAGCTTCCCTCTAAGGCCTGACCAGTTGTCTTTACGCAAAGTTTTAGTAACTGAATTTTTCTTCACTGATCCAAAATACTTACCAACCTTGTATCTGCATTTTGTATCTGGACTTTCTATCAGCGCTGAGGGATTGAACCGAGGGCCTCTTACTTGCTGCCTAAGGGCTCTACCACTGTGCTGCATCCTTGAAATAGGGTCTCCTTAAGTTAACAAGGTAGCCTTAATGTGCAGTCTACCTATGTAAACCTCTCAAGTATCTGGGATCACACAGGTCTATGCCACCAGGCATAGCTTTACCACCTCCTACTAGACACAAATTACTTGGCAAGATCAGGGAGGAAATGGCCTTTCAACCTTGAAGCAAAACTCAGACCTTTAAGTTTTTAGGAAGCCAAATCTGGCAACACACCAAAGTCTAGACTGAGAGAGAAGCAAGAAAGAATGGTTACTAGTCACCAACTATCAGTCCAGGCAGAGCCAGAGAGCCAGGAGATACAGGGGCCCTCACTCAGGTCGAGTGGCCTGGAGGTTACAACAGCACAGGGGCTTCTTGTGGTGGTTTCTACACCCATCAATCAGTATCTGTATCTATAGAATACTGAGAGATGGAGGAGGGGCTAGAGTGTGCACTCTATTTACAGAATACTGAGAGATGGAGGAGGAGGCTAGAGTGTACACTCTCATCAACAGAATACTGAGAGATGGAGGAGGAGGCTAGAGTGTACACTCTCATCAACAGAATACTGAGAGATGGAGGAGGCGGCTAGAGTGTATACTCTCATCTACAGAATACTGAGAGATGGAGGAGGAGGCTAGAGTGTACACTCTATTTACAGAATACTGAGAGATGGAGGAGGAGGCTAGAGTGTACACTCTCATCAACAGAATACTGAGAGATGGAGGAGGAGGCTAGAGTGTGCACTCTCATCAACAGAATACTGAGAGATGGAGGAGGAGGCTAGAGTGTATACTCTCATCTACAGAATACTGAGAGATGGAGGAGGAGGCTAGAGTGTACACTCTATTTACAGAATACTGAGAGATGGAGGAGGAGGCTAGAGTGTGCACTCTCATCAACAGAATACTGAGAGATGGAGGAGGAGGCTAGAGTGTATACTCTCATCTACAGAATACTGAGAGATGGAGGAGGAGGCTAGAGTGTACACTCTATTTACAGAATACTGAGAGATGGAGGAGGCTAGAGTGTACACTCTCATCAACAGAATACTGAGAGATGGAGGAGGCGGCTAGAGTGTGCACTCTCATCAACAGAATACTGAGAGATGGAGGAGGCGGCTAGAGTGTACACTCTATTTACACAATACTGAGAGATGGAGGAGGAGGCTAGAGTGTACACTCTCATCTACAGAATACTGAGAGATGGAGGAGGAGGCTAGAGTGTGCACTCTCATCAACAGAATACTGAGAGATGGAGGAGGCGGCTAGAGTGTGCACTCTATTTACACAATACTGAGAGATGGAGGAGGAGGCTAGAGTGTACACTCTCATCAACAGAATACTGAGAGATGGAGGAGGAGGCTAGAGTGTGCACTCTCATCAACAGAATACTGAGAGATGGAGGAGGCGGCTAGAGTGTATACTCTCATCTACAGAATACTGAGAGATGGAGGAGGAGGCTAGAGTGTACACTCTATTTACAGAATACTGAGAGATGGAGGAGGAGGCTAGAGTGTACACTCTCATCTACAGAATACTGAGAGATGGAGGAGGAGGCTAGAGTATACACTCTCATATACAGAATACTGAGAGATGGAGAAGGAGGCTAGAGTGTATACTCTCATCTACAGAATACTGACAGATGGAGGAGGAGGCTAGAGTGTACACTCTATTTACAGAATACTGAGAGATGGAGGAGGAGGCTAGAGTGTACACTCTCATCAACAGAATACTGAGAGATGGAGGAGGCGGCTAGAGTGTATACTCTCATCTACAGAATACTGAGAGATGGAGGAGGAGGCTAGAGTGTACACTCTATTTACAGAATACTGAGAGATGGAGGAGGAGGCTAGAGTGTACACTCTCATCAATAGAATACTGAGAGATGGAGGAGGCGGCTAGAGTGTGCACTCTCATCAACAGAATACTGAGAGATGGAGGAGGAGGCTAGAGTGTACACTCTATTTACAGAATACTGAGAGATGGAGGAGGCTAGAGTGTGCACTCTCATCAACAGAATACTGAGAGATGGAGGAGGCGGCTAGAGTGTGCACTCTCATCAACAGAATACTGAGAGATGGAGGAGGCGGCTAGAGTGTATACTCTCATCTACAGAATACTGAGAGATGGAGGAGGAGGCTAGAGTGTACACTCTATTTACAAAATACTGAGAGATGGAGGAGGAGGCTAGAGTGTACACTCTCATCTACAGAATACTGAGAGATGGAGGAGGAGGCTAGAGTATACACTCTCATATACAGAATACTGAGAGATGGAGAAGGAGGCTAGAGTGTATACTCTCATCTACAGAATACTGAGAGATGGAGGAGGAGGCTAGAGTGTACACTCTATTTACAGAATACTGAGAGATGGAGGAGGAGGCTAGAGTGTACACTCTCATCAACAGAATACTGAGAGATGGAGGAGGTGGCTAGAGTGTATACTCTCATCAACAGAATACTGAGAGATGGAGGAGGAGGCTAGAGTGTACACTCTCATCTACAGAATACTGAGAGATGGAGGAGGAGGCGGCTAGAGTGTATACTCTCATCAACAGAATACTGAGAGATGGAGGAGGAGGCTAGAGTGTACACTCTCATCTACAGAATACTGAGAGATGGAGGAGGAGGCTAGAGTGTGCACTCTATTTACAGAATACTGAGAGATGGAGGAGGAGGCTAGAGTGTGCACTCTATTTACACAATACTGAGAGATGGAGGAGGAGGCTAGAGTGTACACTCTATTTACAGAATACTGAGAGATGGAGGAGGAGGCTAGAGTGTGCACTCTATTTACACAATACTGAGAGATGGAGGAGGAGGCTAGAGTGTGCACTCTCATCTACAGAATACTGAGAGATGGAGGAGGAGGTTAGAGTGTACACTCTCATCTACAGAATACTGAGAGATGGAGGAGGAGGCTAGAGTGTGCACTCTCATCTACAGAATACTGAGAGATGGAGGAGGAGGCTAGAGTGTGCACTCTGGTCTCTAACTCCCCCACCTTCCCTTTTTGGTAGTGCTAGAGACTGAATCTACTAGGGGCTCATGCTGGGCAAGAGCTGAGCTACAGCCCAGCCCTCTTTTTAAATTGAAACAGGATCTCAGTTAAGTTACCCAGGCTGCCCTTCAACTTGCAATCCTCCTGGCTACATCCAAGTGATTAGGATTACAGTTTCAGCCACTGGGCCCTGGTGAACTTTTTCAAAAGCACCCCAGATGGCTATGATAAATGGTGAGGTGATGATCCACCATTCCCTCTACCCATTCCCTGAGAGTCCCTATGTACTAAAATCACAGTGCTGTCTCAGCAGAGCAGCAAAATGCCCATTGCCAAGATAGGCTAAGTCAGCATGTAAGTCTAAGTGTTCTTATATCCAAGTTCACACTCTAAAGAGACAATTTTCAACCTTCAGTTAACAGACAAGGAAATCAGGTTTGTGGGCTCAAGAGTGTGTCTCATACACACACAACTAGTAAATGGCCTGGCTGGCACTGTGATGACATGACCAAACAGATGGTCTTTCAGCATGAGTGTGAGTCAGCATATAACCTGGAAGCTCTGTGACAGAACACAGGCTGCCCTACCCCTTGTTCTGGCTGCCTCCCTGGCTTTACTGTTTGCTGAGGAAGATAAGAATCAAATGTCAATACCAGGAAAACAAGGACCCTAGAACGGGGCCCAGTAAATTAAGTGCTGACATACTGGAAAAAACAGTCCTCAGAACCTGGTCCCCATGCCAAAGCCTCACTGTACCTCACAGAAGTCTTCACTTCGTCCATTGGGAAGATGATGGAGGTGAGCTCTAGGATGTGGGACCTTCGCAGACGCGCCAGTCCGTCGTAATGACCCTTCAAGTCAATGGTTTTCTTCTCCACCAGGTCCCCCAGCTTGCGGTTGTGCCGCTGAATCTTCTCCTTCTTCTCTTGGTGCCGCTGTGCTCGGCTGTAAAGCTTCTGGTTCTTTTCCTTGTTTTTGAGAAGGCCTTCAGAATCTAGCAATGAGTCACATGCCTCCATGAGCCCGGCAGGCTGCGGCACAGCACTGCTTCCCTTCCCACTGTATACTCAGGGTAAAGCCTCAGGAAAAACTGCACTAAGGGCCATCCCGGAGAGAGCCTGGGGGCTATGGAGTCTGAGCCTTGCCAGGCTCATCGTACTGAAGTCAAACTTCATTTGAGTCACAAAACCAAACTGCACTCTAAGATAGACATCTAGGAACCATATTTTCAAGTTCAAAACCAAGATCAGGACCTTCTAGGAACACATCTCTGGAAAGACGTAAAGCCAAGTTCTCTACTTCACTATTACCTATCACCTGTGTGATGTCTCAGCAATCTCCCTACCGTGACCCCATTAGCTGGTCTATGATGTCCTTATGCCTTTCTTTCTCCACTCTCACTCGTTTCTAATTACCTCTCACTTGGGCCCATCTCCAGAGTGGCACAACTACCTTCAACCTATCTGCCCCCTCTCTCCTTCTCTCACCCTCCCTGGTGTGTGTGTGTGTGTGTGTGTGTGTGTGTGTGTGTGTGTGTGTGTGTGTGTGTGTGTGTGCGCGCGCGCGCGCACGCGCGCGCGCATGCGTGTGTTCCTCTTGTCTCAGCCTGCTGAATGCTGAGATTACAGATATGTGTCACCATGCATGGCCCTTGCACAATCTTTATAAACTACAGCCAGTGCGTGACAGTTCTCAAACACAAACCAAACTTTTTAACCTCCAAACTGGCATCGACCCAGTTCCCTTTTACCTATGTTCAGTGCCTCCATCCTTCAGATCCTCTTAGATGGACCCACTTAACGTTAGTGACTAGAGAAATGAATACTGAATGAATCCTGCAAACACTCATCCCCCCCCCCCCCACTGTCGTTCAAAATACTATCTATCTGGGACTGTGCCTTATTTGCTCCTACTTTTCCCATTTTCCATTATTTTCTTATTATTGTTTTTATGGTTTTCATTATTGTTCTCATTGGCAAGGCTCTGCCCATAAATGCTCCCCAGACTGGTTTCTCGCAACCTGGACTCTGTGTTTGACTTCTAAAGCATACAGCTCTTAGTTCTTCACACCAGGGCCCAGTGAAGCTGTGCTGCCTCCTAACCAGGCTGTAACAGTCACCCGATGAGCACCTGTGAACACGAGCTGCTCCTCTCTCAGGACCTAAGCATGGGCTTAGCACAGGCAGGAGCTTCCATAGTTTTCCATCTCCTCTCAAAAATGCCTCTTTCCCAAGCCAGCTCCACCTAGAAGTCTTGGTAAAACATTCTGGGGCTTAATTTACTTACTTTCACTCCTTCATGTCCATGATTTCTATTGACCCTTGAAGTACTCACAAGAACCTGTCTAGCTATGGTCCTGAGTCAGACTTTTTTTTGGACAGTTTAAACTCATTACCTTCCCCCAGTACAGGGGACAGAATGTTCAGGCATCCCATCAGCAGCCAGTGCTGCAGGAACGCAGGGCTCCCTCATCTCCCCGTGGTGTCTTCCCTAAAACATCAAAGCACTCGATGCTACTTCTAATCCACTCTGCAGCCAGATCAAGCCCACCTTCAAGTGCACATAACCAGCTCTCCTGGCCATACGGTTCAATGTATCTGCACATTCTGCATGGTGAACCCTTAACTCCAAGGCTTTGGAGAAGTAAGCACCAGGCGCTACAGCTTCTAGTCTGTGCCCTTTCCTGGACACACAGGGTATATTTCAACAACACAGCATAAAGAAAAAGGTTATTGGGCAGCAACCTCTTTGTCTGTGAGCTTGGGTTCACAAATCACTTCTAGAGTTTGTGAACTCCTTTAAAACAGCTTGCAAGACAGTGCACAGGCTTTAGAGGGCGGGCACCAAGACTGCGGCCGCCTTCCATCAAGCAGCAGTTTGCAACTCTGGCGGGCATCACAGCCACCCAGAGCAGCCCAAAGTGGGGTCCATGGGTTGGAGCTGACAGTAGTATGGAAATCTACAGTAAGTGTAGACAAACTTTTCTCAACAGAGCAATGTGATGTAGCTGTAAGCCTAGGGTGGATCCTAGACTTCTTTGGCCCCGAATTTCCAAATGGTCATGAGGTCATTTTCATAATGTGTTACAGTCCACTGCTTTATGACATGTTTTTGTTTTAAAGTTTAGAAACTTGTTAGAATGAGCTGATTAAAATTTTATGCATGTACATGTTCAACATACTGTGCAGCATCAGAAGGTTGGGACACCTGCCTGAGCATCACGGGAGGCTGCTGGGGAAATGTTGAGTCAATGTTAAGTAACTACTTCTAGTGCTGCTGCTGAACCCAAGACCTGGAGAATGCAAGCAAAAGTCACGGCTTTCTTCTCCCTGAAGATCCATACCTATATATCATGCTACCTTGCTGCTCTAGCTGTCCAGCCCATCCAATACCACACAAGCACTTCATTAGAGTAAGGACCTTCCAAGGAAGCTCTGATACCATCACACACCACTATAAAGTAACCAGTCTAAATGAGAAGGGATTCATAGACATGATGGGGACTCTAAACTGTATAGACTAGTTATGGTGTTTTGAATGAGAATGGCCCCATAGGCTCATTATGTTTGAATATTTGGTTTCCAGTTGGTAGAAATGTTTAGGGAGGATTAGGAGGTGTGGCTCAGGGGTTGGCTTTGAGGCTTAAAAAGCTTCCTGCCATTCCCACCAAACTCTCTGCTTCCTGCTTGCATGCCTTTGTTCCGCCATCATGGACGTTAACCCTCTGGAACCGTAAGCCTAATTAAACGTGTTCTTTTATAAGCTGTCTTGGTATTGTGTTTATCACAGCAACAAAAAAGTAACTACGACACTAATCTTGAGAAATAATGTTTCTAAGGATATAATTTCTTAGAGGGCAAAAAATTTAACAGCCATCTATGATAACATGTACAGCATTTTTTCATAATGTGAAACCAGTACAGATTTTATATACATTAATTCACTACAGGGCAAAAGCTATGATTTCATGTTTCTGCATGAGTTACTGAATATTACAAGGAAGTCCCAAGTCAGACTCTGCCCTTCCTGTCCGCTCCCACCAAACAGCAAATGTGCCCCAGTGTTTAGTTTTCATGGTGTTGGGGATCAAGTCAAGGGATGAAGACTGCAAAGCACTAGGGTGAACTATATTCCCAGCCCTTCCTTTTAGACCGAGACAGTAAGTTCCTGAAGACTTCTGCAAAAATCCCTTATGATACATCATACTGAGAAAAGCAAGCAAGCAAGCAGAGGCTTTGCTTCCCTGTAAGGACAACCTGAGATTGGGCTGTGCACGGCTCGGATGAGGAGAGAGGAGGCTAGTGAACTTCAGGCCAACCTGGGCTACAGAGCAACACCTTTTCTCAATAAAAAAATAAATCTGAAGAATGAAATGCTCTAAAACCACAATTATTTTGTTTTTGTTTTTCAGACAGGGTCTCACTTTGTAGCCCTGGCTGTCCTATAACTTGATGTGTAAACCAGGCTGGACTCAAGAGATCTGCCTCTGCCAGAGTGCTGGGATTAAAGGTGTATGTCACCACACCCAGCCTTAAAATCCGGAACATTTTGAGTGCTGACATGATACTACAATTTTAATTCTACACTTGACTTGTTATTAAAGTCAAAATGCAGGCACACTAAAAATACTGTATGAAATTACCTCCAGGATACATGTATAAGGTACATATGAAACACAAATGAATTTCATGTTTAGAGGGTCTCAACATTACAATATCTCATTTTACACACACACACACACACACACACACACACACACACACACACACACACTTCCAAAATTGAAAGAAATCTGAAATCCAAAAAGGCATTTCAAATTAGGGATTGATATTTTCAACCCACTGTAAACTCTTCCAAGTCACTGATAGCCTGTGATGGTCAATACAGCCAATTTGACAGGATCAAGTATCACAGGAGACAAACCTCTGGTTATGTTTGTCAGAGAGTTTCCAGACTAAGTTAACTGAAGTGGGGACCACCTTGAGTGTGGGCAGCACAATTTCTTGGGTTGGTTCCCAGACTGAACAGAGAGAGAGCATGCTAAGGATCGGCACTCGTGTCTTTTCTCCTTGACTAGATGCCATGTGCCCTAAGCCTCAGGCTCCTGTGGCCATGACTTCCCTGCCTGGACGGACTGTAGCCTCTGACCATGAGCCACATAAATCCTTCCTTCTTTAAAGAAGGTGCTTCTGTTAGGTGTTCAGTCAGAGCAATGAGAAAATTAATCAACTCCTGCCCCATCCCTGCCTCTTCCATTATCCCTCCAGTTCATTGACTTTATGAACTCACTCAGACCTTTCCCTGGGGCTGAGGGAGGGGAAGTACTTACTTTTCTTCATTTCTTCATTTCCTTTACAGATTGTTTGTCTCAGCTGTTCAATCCTCATCTTGCACGACATGATTTTCCATCTCTTAAAAAGTATGCAACAAATGTCACAAACGTTAGTCTCATGGGATTATCTACCGGGAATTCCTGCTTAGTTTCAGTCTGTCTTAGGAGACAGTGAAGAAAACGCGACCCCAACTACATTTGTTGTAACTGTTTGTACCTATGTGGATTACAAAGGGAAGTGTTTTTCTGGTTCAACACAGTAGCTGCTGGGAAATTAACAAGAAAGAAATTGATTCAGTTCTTTCCCATGTGTTAGAGCACAGAGGAAAATGCTTCTAAACTTACCCTACCAAGTACATAGTTACCCACCAGCCTGGCTAAGCTGGTGTGATGGTATACAAGTAGAATCTTAGCACTCGAGAGGTAGAGATACAAGGTTCAGGATTTCAAGGCCACCTTGCCCTACGTAAGGCCCTGTTTCAAACCCATGAAAATACAATTACAATACATGTCATATAGATTCACTTCCCCATACTATCCACATGTCATGGCTAGTGGTGACTGCACAGACAGTAGATTCAGACAGAGTGTCTGTGTCATCACAAAAAGACCAACTGAGTTCCACTCTCTGTGCTGGCTCCTGAGGTATATTGCAAATCAAATTTCCTGAGATGACTAGGAAAATTCCACGAACCGTGAAGCTGTCTCTTTACATTAGCAGGAACAGTACAGTCAGGTGCAGCTTTTCCCTAGTGAATAAAGCATCAAAGCTTATAGGATCTCTGCCTGGTTTGAATGAGAAATTGCTGTGGATAGCTGTATGCTGTGAATGTGTTGCTCTGATTGGTTAATAAAGTGCTGAATGGCCAGTAGCCAAGCAGGAAGTATAGGAGGGACAAAGAGAGAGGAGAATTCTGAGAACAGGAAGGCTGAGTCAGGAGACGCTGCCAGCTACCGCCATGAGAAGCAACATGTAAAGATACCGGTAAGCCACAAGCTCGTGACAAGGTATAGATTAATAGAAATGTGTTAATTTAAGATATAAGAACTAGCCGGGCGGTGGTGGCGCAAGCCTTTAATCCCAGCACTCGGGAGGCAGAGCCAGGCGGATCTCTGTGAGTTCGAGGCCAGCCTGGACTACCAAGTGAGTTCCAGGAAAGGCGCAAAACTACACAGAGAAACCCTGTCTCGAAAAACCAAAAAAAAAAAAAAAAGATATAAGAACTAGATAGCAAGAAGCCTGAGCCATTAGGCCAAACAGTTTAAATAATATAAGCGTCTGTGTGTTTATTTGGGTCTGAGTGGCTCTGCAGGCCCAGGCGGGACTGGAGATAACTCCAGCTACAAGAAATGGCCCCCATAGGTTCATATTGTTTGAACATCTGGTCCCCAGTTGGTGGAACTATTTGGAAAGATTAGATGTGGCCTTGTTGGGGGAGGTGTGTCATTGAAGGCAGGAGCAGAGGTTTCAAATGCCTCCCAGAACCAACACTCCCCCACCCCCCAACTCTTCCCCATCATTCCCCACCACCCGCCCTCTGCCTCATGGTTGTGGATCAAGATGTGAACTCTCAGCTGTTCTTTCGATCCCCATAATGGACTCTTTATGCTCTGAAACATTAAACCAAATTAAGTGCTTTCTTTCATAAGTTGCCTTGGTCATAGTGTTTTGTCACAGCAATCGCAATTATTTTCTATTGTCTTCCTATGTGTGAGTAATTAAAAGTCTAAAATAAAGTATTTACAGTGTTAACATTTATATAAGTAGTCCAATGACACAAGATACAGAACAGTGGCAGGGTTTTGTTTTGGTTTAATTTTCATTTATTTTTAAATATTGGTGGCGTGTGGGGCTGGGGGGAAGCAATGGACCACAGAAATCAGAGGACAACTCTTATGGCACATATCCTCTCCTCACTTTTATGTGGATTCTGATGTGGAACTCATGAGGGTCATGACTTGTGCAGCAAGTCCTTTACCTGCTGGGCTATCTTGCCCACTCCACTGGTCTTAACATGCCCCTACCCCCAATCCTAAAGCAGCTGGTCTGATGGAAAGCTGGAATGGCCTTTTCAAGACATGGTTACAGGGCCAATGATGTGGCAGCAGCAGGGAGGGCTGGGGCAGGGCTCTCCAGAAGGTGCTATGTGCTTTGAATCAGCTTCCAATATACAGCACAGTTTTTTCCTACAGCCAGGATCCAGGGTCCAGGAATCAAGTGGTGGAAAGGGAATGGTTTCTCTCTCACTCCTAGTGACCAAAGTTTTGCTTCCTGTTCCCATGAACTTAAGTTCTGCTGGCCTAGAAATTCTGGTTCCAGAATGGGGAGTGCCCCTGCCAGGAGACACAACAAACATCCCACTGAACTGGAAGCTCGGACTTCTTCCTGGCCACCTTGGGCTTCTGATGCCCTTAATCCAACAGGCTAAGAGAAAGGAATAACAGTGTTAGGAGGGGTGACTGATCCAGATTCCAAAGGGGAAATTGGATTGCTTCTCCACAGTGGAGGTGCAAGAGATCCTTCAGGATGGAATGCAGGAGATCCTTTAGGTTGTATCTTGGTGCTACCATGTCCTGTGATTGAAGTCAATGGGAAACTACAACAATTCAATCCAAGTAAGTCACAGACCCTAAGGAATGAAGGTGTGGGTAACTCTCCAGGAAAAGAGCCAAGACCTGCTGAGGTGCTTGCTGAGGGTGGAGGAAACACAGAATGGGTAGTAGAGGAAGGTAGTCATAAATAACTGTTAAGGCCACTTGACTAGTTGCAATAATGTGGGTTATAACTGAAATGTGTGTTTCTGTTGTATTTTGTTAAGAACATGCTTATACAGATATTTTCTTTCCTTGGTTTCTGTATCATGTAATATAACATCAATTGAGATATATCAGTGCTTATCATATTTAAGTTATGAGATACTAAAAGAATGTCCCTCAAGTGACACTGCTATCTATTCTAAAATATATAACATGTTTGCAGTTGTGTGGGGGCTATTTATATCATGTTAGGATAATTATGACCTGGTTATTGTTTTCAATCAGAAATTAAGTAGGACAAAAGCAAATGCAATTGTGTGTCAAGATGACAAGGGGTGGTGGACTTATGATGGCTATTCTTGGCTATCAACTTGACTCCATCTGGAATGAACTCAAAACCCAAGCAGCTGGGCATATATGTGAGAGATATTTAGTTAACTAGATTATTTGAGGTTAGAAGACCCATCCTAAATCTGGACCTGACCTCATGGCAGCCTATATGAAGAATATGGAAAAATGCTTTTGCTTTTTGCCTGCTTGCCCTCATTCTCACTGGCAAGTTCATCTACCCTGCTGCTGAGACATTCTTTCATTGACTTTAGTGCCTACTTCTTTGGGATTCCAACATATACTGAAGACCAGCTGACACATCCAGCCTCCTGGACTGAGCAACTACTAGATTCTTGGACTTTTTGTGGGAAGATGGCCATTGCTGGACTAGTTGTACCACAGCCTGTAAGCCACTAATAAGTTCCCCTTCTACATACATACATATGTATATGTATATTTGTTCTATCATTTCTGTTCCTTTAGAGAACCTCAATACACCTGCCCCTATTTTTATCTTGAAAGAACTATCCTATAATCCAGCCTGGCCTTGAACTCATGATCCTCCTGCCTTAGCCTTTCCGATGTACATCTCTAAGTTAGGCTGAGGATTCTATAGAAAAGTGTGTATGTTATAAGGATTTTTAAAGATTCTTCATCGAACATCTTAATTATAATATTCACAGCATGAGTCACTTCCATCATAAATATTCTTTAAGTGTCATAAAAATTATACATGATACCTTATCCTTTAAAAAACTTAGGACAGAGCAGATAAAAGGAAATGTAACTGTTGTATGCAGTCTGTCCTCCTCGTCTGGGACAAGCTCTTCTTTTATAAGGCTGAGTCAGCCCAGAACTTCGTGAATGCTCAGCCTGCAGTCCTCCACCAGAATACCCACAGTGCTAATGCCAGACCACCATGTATCCTTTGTAGAGTATATTTAAAATATGCACACAAAGGAATGATATTCCCTTACCTTTTTTTCATTAAAAATTTCATCTCAGACATAGTTTCTTTTGGACACATATATACTAACCACATTTTTATATCATTAAAAATCAAACTGCCACACTAATTGGACACAATTATAGGATTTGCTATGATACCTCAATACATGAATACCAAAGCATCTTCACAGGTCATGGTTTCTTCTCAGTTCCTGAACCTAGAGCATTCATTTATTAACTCTGAAGTGGTGCTACAGTTTGCTACCCATACCTCTCTCTGTCTATATATATTTCTCAGCAGAAACTTGCTGAGCACACAAGTCCTCTGGAAGTACCACAGACTACCCCCAAGTCAAGTGTATTGCTGCCAACAGGGAATGAAGCTGTCAGAGTCCTGTCAAAGTCCCTAATTTACACGTTTGTGTTCCTCTTCTCAGTTCAGGAGTTAATTTTGTTTAATGTACAAGATTTTAAATTAGTTTACTATGCTAAATACGTTCTTCTGTGGCTTCTAAAGGTCCTACCAACACTGAATTATGTAAGTCCACTACTATATTCTTTTTTGTGTGTTTTAAGCTGCAAGAAGCCCCAGCTGGCTTCATGTCCCAATCCTATCTTCAGCTCAAGTATGGGATTCCAGGCACACATCACCACGCCCAGCTCTTCCCGATTCTTTAGTATTTTACATGTAATCATTAACTTATCTGCACAGGTGTTTATTGTGAGTAGTTTCTGCAAAACGGATGATCTATTTGGTTCTGTATTACTATGCCAAGAGCAAATTTGTATAATTATCCTTTATGATAGTTGTATAATTTAATCACCTATCGTATTTGGTATATCTCCATGTAATAGTTTAGAAGGCCACACTACAAATATACTTAAACACCCGACTATCAAATGTGATGAAAAACTAAGTCAAATAATCATTAAGTTCTACCTTAACTTAGAAACATGTACCAAAAAAAAAAAGAAAGAAAAGAAAAAAAAAGGGCCGGGCGGTGGTGGCGCACGCCTTTAATCCCAGCACTTGGGAGGCAGAGCCAGGTGGATCTCTGTGAGTTCGAGGCCAGCCTGGACTACCAAGTGAGTTCCAGGAAAGGCGCAAAACTACAGAGAAACCCTGTCTCAAAAAAACCAAAAAAAAAAAAAAAAAGAAAGAAAGAAAAGAAACATGTAGCCTCATGTATGAAGACTATTAGCTTAAACACTTCTTGGAACTTACCAACTGATCTGTTAGCCGTTTTCCTTCCATCGCTTTTAGTACTCTGTAGGGAAAGAGATAGGGTGAAACTTTGAATAAAAATTTTACAAAGCTCAAAAGATACAAATCAAGCTTTAAAAAGTTATTATGTTCATGGTGTTTTGCCTCCATGTGTATGCCTGGTGCCTGAGAAAGCCCAAAAAGGACATCAGATCAATCTCCTAAAACTGGAGTTAAAGACGCTTGGGAGCTGTCATGTGGGTGCTAGAAACCAGAGGCCTCTAGAAGAGCAGCCAGGGCTCATAAAAACTGAGCCATCTCTCACCTCTTCCTCTCCCTTCTGTTTTCAATACTGGCTGTTGCTATGTGCCCAGGCTAGCCTGGAATGCAGCCTTCTGATTACGGGTGCACACTGCCTGGCTAATGGATCAACTTTTTAAGGTGGGTGCTTGGAAAAACCTGGAAATACCAAAGTGGGTCTTAACAAATTATTTTACAAATTCTTTATTCCTTACAATTGCTCATTTCTTTTTTTTTTTTTTTTTTTTCTTACCTGTAACATTACCAAGAGCTTTGGTCCTCAGACATAATCAGTAATTTCTATGAGTCATAACCAATAATAATGACAGCCACAAAATAATTCATAATCTTAAAACACAATGATTTGTTCTGAGAGAAAGGGCAAAGACAATGCCTCTGCATAATTTGTCCCAGGAATGAAGTACTCTGGGAAAAAAAGATTCTGTGATATGCTATGGGATGTCTTTCTGCATGCTTAGAATATGTGTTGCTCCCATTGCCTAATAAATAAAGCTGTTTTGGCCTATGGCAAGAATGCTTACAGCCAGGCAGAAATCCAAGAGAGATAAGAGAAGAAAGGTGGAGTCAGAGGGGACGCCAGCTGCCACCCAAGGAGCAACAAGATGCCAGCAGACTGGTAACACCACAGCTACATGGCAACATATAGATGAACAGAAATGGGTTAATTTAAGATGAAAGAGCTAGCAAGAAGCCTGAACCACAGGCCATACAGCTTGTAATTAATATAAGCCTCTGTGTGCTTACTTGGGACCAAGCGGCTGTGGGACTGGGCAGAACACAGGAAATCTTCTGTCTACAATGCTAGACTAAGCTAGAGAAACTGTTGGGTCAGATATACTCAGGCAGGCTTTTAAGAAGCACGTTTTTTCTTAGGAGGAGCTCACTGTGGAAATCACTAGCATAGGTATCAGTTGTCTTCACCAGTAAAGGTATTTCCATATTGGTCTGGTTTGGGAAGGATTGGCAGAGGGCCTCAAGTGATGGGCAAGACATGTAGGGAGAAGAGATGCCCTTAAAGGCTGAGCCATCTCTCCAGCCCTTATTTTTTTCTTTTGTTTTCAATATTGGCGGTGAGGTCCTATGGGAACCACCTCTGTGAAAGCTAACTTGGGTCTCACAAAGCTGAGCAGGACCAAGGGAGCAACTCCTCAATCCAAATACTGAGTCATTACTGTGGGAAAGACTCCAGCTCTTGGGCCAAGATTTTCTAGAAACTTGATATTCTCCCCTGTTTCGCTTCTCTCAGACACTTCCCTCCTTTCCCCACACTTTCAAAGTCTGATGCTCCACCCACTGAGTTATCAGGGTGTTTCCCAACACTTCAAAAGATAGTCTGCTAAATGAGCTAGCAATTCACACATCTGCACACCACGGCAACAGATTACACTAAGTGGCTAGAGACAGCCTCTACAAATTAAAGTATAAAAACTCACTCTTTCTGAAATTCTTCTTGCTTGCTCTTAAGCTGGCTTAGCCTTTCCTTCTTGTCAATAAACCTGTAAGAAAAAAATCCTGGTTTATTTACATGTTCCCCTCCCGCTGGCAAGTTTAATGAGACGCCTACTGATTCCTGAGCTGATCACTTCTGCAAACTCCCGTGGAAAATTTCAGGATACCCATATTCTGAAAATAAACACTTTCACATTAGTGTGCACACAGCTGGGTTTGTTTGTTTGTTTGAGATACAGTTTCTCGTAACAGTCCGGGCTGTCCTCAAACTCAGATGCACCTGCCTCTGCCTCCCGAGTGCTGGGATTAAAGGTGTGTGCCACCACCGCCCGGTGTTCCCTTCCTTTTTTAATAGAACATGAAATTATAAATGTCCCCTCTCAGCATCACTTCAGTTGCAGCCCACAATTTCTGATAAGGTGTATTTTTATTATCGTTTAGTTTAAAACTTCTTTGCCCCATCATTATTTAGAAATGTCATCATGGTTTCCATATTTGTAGCCATTTTTAGGTAGCTTCTTACTACTGTGTTCTTTGTTTGGTCAGTTTTTGAGACAGTGTGTCACACATAGCCCTGATTGGCCTAGAACTCACAACAGAGCTCCATCTGCCTCTGTCTCCCAAGTACTGGGATTAAGTCTTATTACTATTTTCTAATTTAATATTGTTATAGTCACAGACTATACTCCATGAGATTTCAAGATCTATATTTGTTCTGTCTGTGAAAGGTCCATGTACATTTGAAAGAATGTTTCTACAGTCATTGGGTACAATGTATATAACTGTCAGCGAGTTGACAGTGGCTGATAATCTCCCTCAGATCTTCTTGATCTGTATTGTTCAGTATGGTGGCCACCTGACACACGTAGCTGCTGGATACCTGTGGCTTGTTATGCAATTAGGATTTGAGGATGAAAATATAGCTAACATCATGCAAACAATTAGGAAATGAGCAAATAGCAGCTAACATGGTGTGGCATCCAAGAACAGGTTTTGGGTATCTCCTGAAATCCCAACATAAACAAAAACATGGAACAGAACCACCATCATGGGGAAAAAAAAATCAACCCAGATAAATAACTCTCTCTAAAATACTATTTCTATAATGCTCATGTTTAACACATACTAGGTATTTACCTCTAAATGGACAGGACAACATGATCCAATCATGACCTTATGTAGGACTGAAAATGTACAACATATACTAAACAAATAAGCAAAGGCAGTAACTTTATACATGACAAGTTAAATAACTCCTCAGAATAGCCCCATCACTATAGAAATCCTCACTGGACCGTACTACAGTGTCCAGTAATAATGGTGGCAACTGCATGGAGCAGTTCAGAAACCAAACCCATGAGACTCAGCAATTAACCAGACATTTACCACAAGCCTGCAACACAGAACAAGCATCCTCTCGAGTTCTGAGAACTGCTGTATGCTATTCTACAGCACGTGTGTCCTCATGCTTCCCCTGCCTTGCAGGGGACAGTAAGATACACATGGTAGTGCATGCCTGTAATCCTGTACTCAGGAGACCGAGGCAGGAGGATCATAAGCTCCAATCCAGCTTGGACTAGAAGATAAGATTTGGGGAGGGGAGACTGAGACTAGAGTGGAATTTACTTTGACCTCAACAAGAGGCAACAGTAACTTATATCCCAAAGCCCTCAAACGAGCCAGAAAGATGGCATGGAGGATAAAATCTTGCTTTCATGAGCTATAAAAGTGAGATAGCAGACAGATCTAACCAGAAAGTCTATATTATGCTGGTTGAGTCTCATGGCCTTCTTGGAAAACGTAATGGGAAAAAACAACCACGCCAACAACAAAACCTTAGCGTACAGATGACAGTAAAGATAATAAGAAGCCAATCTGATACTTTATGAATTATGTTATCTTTCATGAAAGAAATTCAAAATAGGTGGTGCTAAAAGAACGCATTGGGGTAGATAGGAAGGACTTGCTCATCCGTACACTCATTCATTCTCCACATCCTCTCCATTGCTCAAAGATATGGATGTATGCTACCATCCTGGGCTTTCTCAATACGGTTTCCAAGAAAGAAGTGAAAGGAAAAACAATCACCACACTCAATGAAATCGGAATGGTTTCTCTTTTATCTCAAAGTAGGGTGTGGGAGGGTGGATTCATATTCTATGCATTGTTTTGCAAGTTGGTTAGTGTCACAGATTATCTTGTTATCTCTCCCCATTGCAAACATACCAAGATCTATCTCATTCTTCATTGCTGGCTAGCATAAAGCTGCTCACACAGCCCTTATTGACAGAAACACTGCTGCTCCCAAAGGCTCACCACTACCAGTAACAGGACAGATGCACACCACAGTGCAGTCTTTACATACTTTTTATTTTCTGAGAAATTCTTACAAATGAGACAAGATGCTGGTCAAAGAATATTCATATGCAAAATTTCCTCTAGAACATTTCACAAATGTATCACCTCCCTAAGAGCGGATGATGGGGCCATTCTGACTCCCCCAGTTTCTGAACATGTGTCTTGGCTGGTTTACCTGCCTATACTTCACTGTCAAAGGCTGGGCATCTTCAGAGCCAGCCAGTGTCTTGTTCTTCTGCTATTCTCTGTCAACACCCTTCATCCATTTTCTATCATCTTTTTCCTTTAAAGATTATTACCACAGAATTAGGTATTGTTCTTTCACTCATGGTGAAATCATGCTTTTCTTACTCTGTTTTCTTACTGCTTGTGAAAACTCTGTCATACTCTTTGTTGTTTGTTGTTTAATGACTCAAGCTCTGTTGTTTTCTAAAATGAATCTGCCAGTGAACTTTGTTTTCCCTCCCAAGTTAAAAATGCCTATTTTTTGAGACAAAGTCTCACTGAATAGCCCTGACTTGACTTGAACTCACTATGTGGTCCAAGCTCTGAACTCAAAGAAATCCATCTGTTTCTGTCTCCTGAGTGCTGGGTTAAAGGTGTGGACTGCCACACTTGGTGTAAAAATGACTTCTAAAGCCAAGTGTGGTAGCACAGGCCTATATTCTCAGACTCAGATATTTACTACATTCCTCCTTACTTACACTTTAGAGTATATTCCTTTAAAAGAAATTATTCCTTTCAATTGACTGTTGTTTCTTTTTTTTTTTTTTTTTTTTTTTTTTTTGGTTTTTCAAGACAGGGTTTCTCTGTGTAGCTTTGCTCCTTTTCTGGGACTCACTTGGTAGCCCAGGCTGGCCTCGAACTCACAGAGATCCACCTGGCTCTGCCTCCCGAGTGCTGGGATTAAAGGCGTGCACCACCACCGCCCGGCTGACTGTTGTTTCTTAAATTCTTCCACAATTTTGTGACTTTTTCCCACTAAAATGTGTGTCTTACTGCTGTGAAGAGACACCATGACCAAGGCAACTCATAAGAAAAAGCATTTAACTGGGGACTTGCTTCCAGTTTCAGACAGAGGCTTACTTAGTCCAAGAACACCATGACACACAGGCAGGCATGATACTGGAGAAGTAGCTGAGAGCTACATCCTGATTCTCAGGTAGCAGGCAGAGAAAGACACTGGCATGGGCTTTTAAAACCCTAAAGTCCACCTCTAGTGACACACATCCTCCAACAAGGCCACACCTCCTAATCCTACCCTGACAGCTCTTCACCTGGGAACTAGGCATGCAAATACAGGAGCGTATGGGGGCCAATCTCATTCAAACCACCACAACAATCTTTCAAATCAACTGTCAAGTAGGAGAGGGTGTTTACATGGAACTCAGTGTGGCATGTGGTCACCAGCTCTGAACTCCAGCAACTTCCTGAGTGCGATACCCTTTTACAATGAGGTATGAGGATGACTGAAAAATAGCTGTTAGGGGAGGGCAGACATTACAGGCAAAGGAAATTCCACTATGTGAAAAATTACTTTGTCCAATGCCAATGACTTTTAACCGACAAGGCAGCCAGCTAAGACAGGACTATAACTGCTGTAAGGGGCACTGATTAGGAGAAGCTCCTAATTCCACTGATCACCAGTCACAATCGTGGGCAAGTGAGTACATCTACCCTCATGGCAGACCAGTCACATAAATCTGTCCCATGTTTCCAGAGAAACCACAGACTCCATGATCTACCTGTATTGTTAATTCAGTACTAGGGACAATTTGCAGTAAGCAACACTGAGCACTTACTGTGTTCTAGGCCAAGTACCTTTAGGAAAATGACAAGTCCTTCAATCTGCTCCGAGTCCTTGTCCTCATCCTGGGGCTAAACTTAGACTCTAGGATTACTGCAACACAGAAGTCTCAGATATGCAACTAACTTTTTATTTATTTATTTTCCTCAAAGGGGCAAAAGACTGTAACCTTTTGAACAAGCAACTGACAGCCTGAAAAATATTTAAATCTCTCAATCAGTTAATTTAGTGCAAACAACTAAGGAACCAAACTAGAAATGAGTAAAGATTTACATCTGAAGATTCAACTATAGTCAGTTATAGTAGCAAAATGTTAGGAACAATTTTAATGTCCAATGGGAAGTTTAATTGATACCATGCTGCCATAAATACTAATTTTTTGTTGTCTTTTTGTGTTTTTTGTTTTTTGTTTTTTCGAGACAGGATTTCTCTGTGTAGTTTTGGTGCCTGTCCTGGATCTCACTCTGTAGCCTAGGCTGGCCTCGAAATCACAGAGATCTGCCTGGCTCTGCCTCACGAGTGCTTGGATTAAAGGCGTGTGCCGCCACCACTGCTGCTGCCGCCGCCGCTGCCGCCGCCGCCGCCACCACCACCACCACCACCACCACCACCACCATCGGGCTAACATTAAAATATTTTACAGTCAGAAATATCTTGCACATATGACCACAAATGATACTTGCATATGCGCGCGCGCGCACACACACACACACACACACACACACACACACACACACACACTCTTCTAGAAGAGCACACTGGATCCCCAGAACTGGAATTACAGGCAGTTTGTGACTCACCATGTAGCGCTGGAACAGAACAGGGGTCCTAAGCAAGAGAAGCAGTGCTCTTAATCCTAATCATTTCCCTTTAACACCGGGG